CGTGGTGTTGTATAGTTCATAAGTTTGGACAAATGTATAATGACATGTATATATCATTATATCACACGGAGTGTTTTCACTGCCCTAAAAATTCTCTCTGTTCCATCTGTTTACCCCCAACACATACTGATCTTTTTACTGTCTTCATAGGTTTGCATTTTCCAGGATGTCATATACTTGGAATTATACAGTATATAGCCTTTTCAGATTGTCTTCTTTCACCAAATAATATGTATGTAAGGTTCCTCCATGTCTTTTCATGGCTTGATAGTTCATTTCTTTTTAGCAATGAACAATATTCTGTTGTCTGGATGTACCACAGTTTATCCATTTACTTTGCTGAAGGACATCTTGGTTGCTTCCAAGTTTTGGCCACTATGAATAAAGATGCTGTAAACATTTATGTGCAGGTTTTTAACTATGTGGACATAGTTTTCAATTCTTTGGGTAATACCAAGGAGAATGATTGTTGATTATATGGAAAAAGCATGTTTCTTTGTGTGTGTGTGTGTGTGTGTGTTTGGTATGTGCCCTTAGCGGGAACCAAACCCAGGACTCTCTGGTCCGCAGGCCCCCAACGCTCCAACCGCTGAGCCAAACCGGCCAGGGCTGTTTCTTTTTTTGTTGTTTTGTTTTACATTTATCTTCAGACAGAGTGAGAGGGAGAGAGAGAAAGAAAGAGAGAGCAGCATCAGTGGGAGAGAGAGACATCTACTGGTTGCCACCCGCACGACCCCAACAGGGATTGGGGACAAACCGCAACCAAAGAGGTACGTGCCCTTAACGGGAATCCAACCCGGGACTCTTTGGTCCGCAGGCCAACGCTCTGACTGCTGAGCCAAACTGGCCAGGGCTGTTTAATTTTTTTTTTAAAGAAACTGCCAAACTGTCTTCCAGAGTGGCTGTACCATTTTGTATTCCCACTAGCAATGAATGAGAATTGATGTTAATTATCAAATCTTATTTTTTCCATTAAATTCACAAGTTAAAGGATATGTTCATTTTAAGTTTCTTGGCATATAGTATCATCATTAGATATTTTTAATTGTTAATTTATTAAATTTGTTTATTTGATGGGCAAAATATAGCTATCTTATTTCAATGTTTTGTGTCCGTGATTACTTTGTTTAGTTATATCTATTTATAGTTCCTCTCTTATACATTTTTTAAAATTTATAGTTCCTCTTTTATGACTTTCTACATTTGACAAAATTTTTGTTACAGATGTTTCTCCTTTTTTCCCCATTGACATTCTCCCCCACCCCCGTCCTCAGCTTTGTTGTCCATGTCCATTGGTTATGTGTACATGCATATAAGTTCTATGGTTTATCTCTTCCCTCTCCTCCCACCCCCCTTCTGAGGGTTATCAGTCTGTACCCTACTTCAACATCTCTGGGTCTACCCTGTTCCTCAGACTGTTATGTTCATTTTATTCCACAAATATGTGAGATCATGTGATAATTTGTCTTTCTCTGCTTGGCTTGTTTTGCTTGGGATAATACTCTCCAGGTCCTTCCATGTCATTTCAAAGGATAAGAGATCTTTCTTTCTTACATAATACTCCATTGTGTATATGTATCACAGCTTTTTTATTCATTCATCTACTGATGGACACTTGGGCTGTTTCTAGATCTTAGCTATTGTAAATAGTGCTGCTATGAACATGGGGGTACATATATTCTTTCTGATTGGTGTTTCAGGCTTCTTAGGGTATATTCCTAGAAGTGGGATCACTGGGTCAAATGGCAATTCAATTTTTAATTTTTTGAGGTAACACCATAGTGTTTTTCATAGTGGCTGCACCAGTCTGCATTTCCACCAGTGTACTAAAGTCTCCTTTTCTCCACACCTTCGCCAACACTTGTTGTTTGAGACTCTCTACATTAAAAAAAAACAACTTATAGGACATTTATTATATTTATTTATTTATTTTATCTTCACTCGAGGACATTTTTCCATTTTTTGTTCAGATAGATTAGGAGGGAGAAAGAGGAAGAGAGAGAGAGAGAGAAACATCGATGTAAAAGGGACACATCGAGTGGCTGCCACCCACACAACCCAACCAGGGCCGGGGACACACTGCAACCAAGGTACGTGCCCTTAGCAGGAACCGAACCCAGGTCTGTCTGGACCGTAGGTCGATGCTCTAACTGCTGAGCCAAACAGGCCAGGGCCCGAGGACATTCTTCGATATTTTGTTCAGATAGAGTGGGAGGGGGAGAGAGAGAGAGAGAAACATCGACGTGAAAGGGACACATCAAGTGGTTGCCACCCGCACGACCCAACCAGGGCCAGGGACAAACTGCAGCCGAGGTACCTGCCCTTAGTGGGAACCAAACCCGGGTCTCCCTGGACCGCAGGCCGATGCTCCAACTGCTGAGCCAAAGCGGTCAGGGCTATAGGACATTTATTAAAGCTGGGGGCAGTGAAACAAGAAAGGGCTGGGGAAATTAGTCTAAGCTGGTCTGCTTTTGCTCACTGGGAAGTCAGAGCAAAGGGGCCTTGGAGACAGGTTCAGGGGGTTTTACCTGGGAGAAACTGCCGCTGCCCATTACCGCCCTTGTTGCAAGACTTGTGGGCTTCGTTAGAGTTTAGGAGGTGCACGCCTGGAATGTATCCTGACTAGGAATTGAACTGGCAACCTTTCTGTGCACGGGATGATGTCCAACCAACTGAGCCACACTGACCAGAGCTATTTTGTGTATTTAAATCATCTGGCTTTCAAAAGATTGTTTTATTATTTTTAAGTTTAGAAATTCTCTCCTTTGAGAGATACAATAATTTTTTTATTATTTTATTTTTTGTTGATTATAACTCTTTAATCCATCTAGAATTTATTTTGCAGCATGATGTAAAGGTATGTTTATTCTTCACATGATTAATTCTTTGAATTTTTTTTCCCTTTATTGATTTTATAGAGAGAGGAAGTGAGAGGGAGAGAGAGATAGAAACATCAATGAGAGAGAACATCGATTGGCTACCTCCTGCAGCTCCCCCTCTGGGGATCAGGTTCACAACCTGGGCATGTGTCCTGACCGGGAATCGAACCTGCGACCTCTTGGTGCATGGGTCGACACTCAGCCCCTGAGCCACACTGGCCGGACTAATTTTTTGAATTTTTATATATGTTCTATCGTTCTTAAAATGCAATTTCAAGCTTCCTTTTAGTAATGTCTGGAGGCTAATTGTTCTTGATTTGTTGTGAAGTTTAAGGACGAGGAAAGATGACAAAGAAACTTTAGTGACAATATATTTTAGCAATGAAATAATGAATCTCTTATCTGACAGAGCTAAACTTTCTTATCCAAGTTAAACATTAGACAGCATTTCTGATTTAGCCTACTGTTAGTACAGCAAAAGCATTTGTATTTTCTGGAAATAACATTAATTCATAAAGAAATTATGAAATTATAAAGAAACCCGTTTAAAGTGAGAAGATTCTAGACTTCAGACAGCCCAGTATTTTGAAAAAGCCTTGTGCTTTGGCAGGAGCCCAGTAGAGGAAGTGTGTTTGCATCTGCACATTCTAGAAGCCTTCCCAAAGAGTTACTGTAAAGCAGCCAAGAGAGCAGTGTATTTTACTACTGTGTGGTTCTGGAAGTATCTGGAAGTTTGCAGCAAACTTGAGGGAGGAGACTTAGGAGTACTTCCAGAATGTCAGTTTCTGTGGTGATCTATTTTTATTGAGATTCAAGTTAGGAAAATGGGGTTGTGTTTTGTTTTGTTTTGTTTTGCTTTGTTTTGTTTTGTTTTTGGAATAGGGAGCTTTCCAATGTGGACTTGAACCTGTTGGTTTAGGTGAAGTTACTTGGGAAGAGTCAGACACAGGTTGCCTACACAAAGAAATAAGGTGACAAGTCAGAATAACCGGTGGCCTTTTACTGGGGCAAATGGAGCTTTAATGGTCACTTATTCTTCTGTAAGGTAATAAGGACTTAAAGTCCATGTAGGTGATGGAGAAGGAGCAAGAGAAAAATGCTAACAGGGCATTTTGGGAAGGCAGGGTAAAATCCTTCCACTGGTTAATTGATATCTGTACCCACCATGAAAAATACTAGAAAGAACGCTATTGGGGATGAAGATAAAGACTTCTGTCTTTGCTGCCAGTTTTTTTTTTTTTTTTTTAAAGCCACAGCTATGTACTAGGCTGAGGATTTTTTACATAGAACACAGTAGATAAGAGAAAGAACCTCAACACTGAGTCTTTTGAGAAATATTACTACCTTAAATCGACAGTGCTGTTAATTCTTTTTGGATTCTGTACAACTTTAAAATAAAAAAATAACAGCTTTGTTGAGGTATAATTCACATACCATACGAATCACCCATTTAATGTTCATGATTCAGTGGGTTTTAGTACTTTCACAATATTCTTCAACCATCAGTCACCACAGTCAGTTTTAGAACATTTTCATCACCCCCAAATACACAACTTTTAATTGAACTTATTTTAAAATTTAAAGCCATATAGGAAAAAAGATGGAACAAGTTGGAAAACAGAGGATTGATCAGAAAGCTCTTAAACCTTTTTTCTTTTTAAAACATTCTAACATTTAAAATGTATTTTGGTAATATTTAAGCTAAGTTACTTTAATGAAATAATATGTTTTTATGGGAAATTGATGGTTTAGCTCTGGATCACAGAAGAACTAGTTTTTAGGCTAAATGAAAGCAATACTATTTATCCTGTTACTCTAATTGTAGTAGTTAGTAATTAAGGAGAAAATAAACTCAGGTTGAGTTGTTAAGCATAAATTACCAGTGATAACAAACATGTTCTGTTTTTTTTAAAGCATGAAATATCAAGTTAGTATTCTAATATATGAAAAATAAGATAGTGGCTCTTATTAAATAATTAAATCAATGTACAAGAATTAGCAACAGTTTTATGGGCAACCTTGGGGTCTCACTTACATTTTTGTTTGTAAGAAAAATAAGTTAGAGACTTTTCCTACCCTTCCTTTATAAAAATTTTTGTAATGGCTATATTTTTCTTATAGGTGTGTGAACCTGTAAAAGTAAGACTTCCAAGATGATCCAGTATATTTTAATTGTAGGGATTCTACTTCCCCAGTCTTTGGCCCATCCAGGCTTTTTTACTTCAATTGGTAAGTTTTAACTCTTTTTTGGTTTGTATTGTTTTTGCATTTAAAATTTTCCATTTTTTCATGTTTTAAAAATCAGTAAAAAAAAAAAAAAGAAAAGACACTGTATTCCCAGAGACTGAAACATTGCTTTAGGCCTTGCCCCTCTAAAAGACACTCCTTTTAAATTCAATTTTGTTTTTCTTTAAATATTTTATTCTTATTACAAAAGCAATACATTTATAGGTTAGAAACTTATGAAAATTTAGGAAAGCATACCAAAGAAAATTTGCTGTTAATGGATCCACCCAGCAAGTTATTTAATGCATATACTTAGTCTTTTTTAATGCACAAATATACAAATAATATACTGTAATTAATTTCATAGCCTACTTTTCTTTTTTTCTTCTTTTTTTTTTTAATTGATTAATTTTTGTTACAAATGATTCTCCTTTTTTCCCCCACTGATTCCCCCCTCCCCCTTCCCTCCCTGCTCCTTCCCCCGATTGTTGTCCATGTCCACTGTTCATGCATACATGCATATAAATTCTGTTGTTCATCCCTCTCTCACCTCCCCACTCCTTAGGGGATTGTCCTCAAACTGTTATGTTCATTATATTCCAGAAATCAGTGAGATCATATGAAATTTGTCTTTCTCTGTTTGGCTTGTTTCACTTAGGATGATACTTTCCAGGTCCCTCCATGTAGTCTCAAAGGATAAGAGATCTTTCTTTCTTACCGCTGCGTAGTACTCCATTGTGTATATGTACCACAGCTTTTTAATCCATTCGTCTACTGATGGGCACTTGGGCTGTTTCCAGATCTTAGCGATTGTAAATAGTGCTGCTACAAAGATGGGGGTACATATATTCTTTCTGATTGGTGTTTTATGCTTCGTAGGGTATATTCCTAGAAGTGGGATCACTGGGTCAAATGGGAGATCAATTTTTAATTTTTTGAGGTGACACCATATTGTTTTCCATAGTGGCTGCACCAGTCTGCATTCCCACCAACAGTGTACTAGAGTCCCCTTTTCTCCACACCCTCGCCAACACTTGTTGTTTGATGATTTGTTGATGGTGGCCATTCTGACAGGTGTGAGGTGATACCTCATTGTTGTTTTGATTTGCATCTCTCTGATGATTAGTGATGATGAACATTTCTTCATATGTCTCTTAGCCATTTGTATGTCCTGTTTGGAGAGGTGTCTATTTAGTTCCTCTGCCCATTTTTTAATTGGATTCTTTGTCTTCCTTTTGTGGAGTTGTATGAGCACTCTATATGTATTGGAAATTAACCCCTTATCTGATATATCATTAGCAATTATGCTCTCCCATACAGTGGGTAGTCTTTCCGTTTTGATGATTGTTTCTTTTGCTGTGCAGAAGCTTTTGAGTTTGATGTAGTCCCATGTGTTCATTTTCTCCTTTGTTTCTATTGCCTTAGGTGATGTGTCAGTAAAAATTCTGCTGCGTATGATGTCTGAGATTTTGTTGCCCATAGTCTCCTGTAGGATTTTTATGGATTCATGAGTTACATTTAAGTCTTTTATCCATTTTGAGTTTATTTTGGTGTAGGGTGTAAGTTGATGGTCTAGTTTAATTTTTCGGCAAGTAGCTGTCCAATTTTCCCAGCACCATTTATTAAAGAGGCTGTCCTTACTCCACTGTATGCTCTTGCCACCTTTGTCAAATATTAATTGAGCATATTGCCTAGGGTCCATTTCTGGGTTCTCTATTCTGTTCCACTGGTCTATATACCTGTTCTTGTGCCAGTACCAGGCTGTTTTGATTATTCATAGCCTACTTTTCTGTTTAAGAATCTACTGTGAACACAATTTATTTTTTCTACATCATAATTAAAATATCTTTTAAGTATTATAAAAGTAGCATATTATTGATTAGAAGGGAAAAATCAGAAGTACATGGGATGTAAGACATCCACATGTCCTCTTTCCCCAGAAATATTCCTCATGGTTTGATGTGTATTCTCTTACATTTTCCTGTATACATACTTTCTCTGTCTTAAAGGAGATGTTTTCCTTCATCCTGTTGACCAGTTTTATCCTTGTGTGACTGTAGAGCTAACTAAAACACAAGCATTATATTTATGACACTTAATTTTAGGATATAAAATAACGAGTTCTCTCACTCCATTATAAATAAATATGGATTATTTGACTTTCGGTTATGTGAATACTTTTTTGTTAGTGTAGTTTTAGTTTTTGGAATAAAAATTTAATTCTAGTTAGCCTCAAATATAAAAATAGTTGCCCTGGCTGGTGTGGCTCAGTTGGTTAGCGTCATCCCATGCACCAAGAGGTCACTGGTTCAATTCTCGGTCAGGGCACATGCCTGGGTTGCAAGCTTGATCACCGGTGTGGGGTGTGCAGGAGGCAGTCAAAGGATGTTTCTTTCTCTCCCCCTCTCCTTTTCTCGTTCTCTAAAATCAATAAAAATATATTAAAAAAATAAAAATAATCCTAGCTGGTTTGGCTCAGTAGTTAGAGTGTCAGCCCACAGACCTAAGGGTGGCAGGTTCTATTTCCAGTCAAGGACATGTACCTGGGTTGCAGGTTCTTTCCCCAGCCCCATTTCAGGTTGTGTGGGAGGCAATCCATGTGTGTGTCTCTTTTCCCCCTCCCCCTCCCTTCTTTCTTCTCTCCCTTCTCTTCCTTCTCCCCTTTCCCTCTCTCTCCCTCTCCCTCCCCTCCTTCCTTCCACTCTATCTAAAAATCAATATCCTTGGGTGAGGATTAAAAATAATAGTAATAATAAATAAAAATAGTTGAGAGGGAAAGAAAAAACATTGATCCATGGAAAGTAGTCATGTTATATTTTTTAGATGAAACAATTTGCCAATATACTCTAAGCTTGCAAAATTAAGTAATTTGAAAATTAGAACTGGAACATGAGTAGAAAAAAATCTTGATTTTATTTTTATTTATCTGGTAAAAGAAAAAAAAAGAAGAAAAATATGCTCTGTCCAACATATCTAATTCATGCCAGTTAAATAGTCTCATAGCATGAAGCATTCTTGATTATTCTTATTCTTAAATCAGTTTAAAATACTTATGTTGATGAATATGGGTATTTGATAATCTTCTTCCCTTCTGCCCTCTGTAGGTCAGATGACTGATTTGATCCATACAGAGAAAGATCTGGTGACTTCCCTAAAAGACTATATTAAGGCAGAAGAGGACAAATTAGAACAAATAAAAAAGTAAGCAAAATGTTTTATTTATTATGATTCTGACTCTACCTGTTTTCTTTCTAGAGCTAAAACTTTGGGTAGAAATGAAAGCCATCTATCTGTCAGTCTTAAAAGCCAGCTGAAATGGTTTAAATGGGAGCAAAGAAAACAAGAGTTAGGCCTGGGCCAAGAGTTCACACAGAAGAACCTGGGTGAAATAAGAATATAAATGAGTATGGGTTATTGACTGACAATTTTTTAAAATGGTTGCTAATATCTTCTGTCTTCTAACCTCCCTAATCAAGCAATCTTCTGGAGCAATTTCCCAATACTATTTATCCTTCACTCGTATGGTTCCATTCTAGAGATTACAGTGATAAGTATGGTTAGTATTATTTAATTGATAGTTTTTCCTCAAATGGTAATTTATTAATTGACTCAGGTTTATAGTTAGTCCTGACCTGAGTGCTCCTATCTTTTGTTTAATGAGTAGCTAAGTATTCAGGTATTTTTTGTTTTAAAATATAGTTTCTGGGTAATTAATGTAAAATTTTGGTGAATGTTTGATTTAAATGGACATAAAACTGAATTTGGATTGGGCTAATTTGTACTTTGTAATAATCAGTTATTTGCTTTAAGGACAATTGGGGGAAATGAATTTTTAGGCTATTACTAGAGGGATCCAACCATAACTTTTACTAAGATAGGTTTCATTTACTGTAATTGTTTTGGATAAACAAAACTAAACAAAGAAATATTGTAGTTGTATTTGATTCTGCCGTCCTAGAGTTTATCCACAAGAAAATATTGCTTTTTAAAAAAACCCTCTAATAAAAAAAAAATAAAAAAATAAAAAAAAGCCCTGGCTAGTTTGGCTCAGCGGTTAGAGCGTCGGCCTGCGGTCCGGAGAGACCCGGGTTCGGTTCCCGCTAAGGGCACGTACTTCGGTTGCAGTTTGTCCCCGGCCCTGGTTGGTCGTGTGGGTGGCAGCCACTCGATGTGTCCCTTTCACATCGATGTTTCTCTCTCTCTCTCCCTTCCTCTCTCTCCCTCCCACTCTATCTGTACAAAAAATGGAAAAATATCCTCGGGTGAGGATAAAAAAATAAAATAAAAATAAAAAAATAAAAAACCCCTCACCCCGTCGGCCTGCGGTCCAGAGAGACCCGGGTTCGGTTCCCGCTAAGGGCACGTACCTCGATTGCAGTTTGTCCCTGGCCCTGGTCGGTTGTGCGGGTGGCAGCCACTCTATGTGTCCCTTTCACATCGATGTTTCTCTCTTTCTCTCTCTGTTCCTCTCTCTCCCTCCTACTCTACCTGAACAAAAAAAAAAAACAAACCCTCACCCAAGGACATTTTTCTGTTTATCTTCAGATAGAATGGGATGGAGGGAGCGAGGGAGGGAGGGAGAAAGAGAGAGAGAGCGAGAGAGAGAAACACTGATGTGAGAGAGACACATTGACTGATTGCCTCCCGCACTACCTCAAGCAGAACTGGGGACGAACTGCAGTCGAGGAACATGCCCTTGGCTGGAGTTGAACTCGCAACTCTTTGGTTCGCAGGCTGACACTTAACCGCTGAGCCAAACCGGCCAGGACAAGAGAATATTGCTTTTAAAACTTCATAATTTTATTTATTTTTATTTTTTTCCCCAAATCAATACGAGGCTTTTATTGCATCTTTAAAATATCACAAATAAGTGTGAAAATCATTCAGCATCTTGGTGTTTCTATAGCTGGACACCTTAAATCTTATTCATCAATCTGCTGAACTGTTCTTTTTTCAGAAACATAGATACCATCCCCAAATTTTCTGGTATCCTTGTTTTTAACTGTTGTGGCTTGCTGAGTCAAAGCAGCTGAATTTGATACAAGTTCAGTGTTGTTTTCTTCAGGAATCAACTCTTCTTTCTGGGCTTGAGATACTGAACAAGCAACACCTGACCTCATCTGAACTCTGTGGATGTATTTTTCACCCAAGAAATTTCTGATTTCAACAAGAGAACCATTCTCTTGAATAACAACATTGCTGGGGAAGTTAGCTTACATAGACCTCATTTTATAATGGTAGCCCAGTGTAACACTCCTGATCATGTTCTGTACATGACTGCAGACAGTGTGAACCGTGGCCAGATCCTGTTTCCCCACCATTTGTCAACCTGTAGCCTCTTCTTTTTCTTTCCAAGGAAACTGAGTTCTACATTGATGTGGTTGAAGTCCTTCTGCAGGGTGCCTCTAGGGCCCTCCCAGTAACTGTGCATTCCTTCAGAGTGATGTCCACATTTTCTGGGATGTTGACAGTCTGATTGCTGAGAATGGTCTTCATCCTTGGACTAGATCTGACCATACTTTTACATTTATTTATTTATTTATTTATTTATTTATCAATCAATCTATCTATCTATCCTCACCTGAGGACATTTTTCCATTTTTTGTTCAGACAGAGTGGGAGGGAGGGAGGGAGGGAGGGAGAGAGGGAGAGAGAGAAACATCGACGTGAAAGGGACACATCGAGTGGCTGCCACCCACACAACCCAACCAGGGCAGGGACAAACTGCAAGGGAGGTACATGCCCTTAGTGGGAACCGAACCTGGGTCTCTCTGGACCACAGGCGGATGCTCTAACCGCTGACCAAAACTGGCTAGAGCTATACTTTTACTTTTAAAAATACGTTTTAGCCCGGCTGGTGTGGCTCAGTGGTTGAGCATCGACCCATGCACCAACAGGTCGTTGGTTCGATTTCCGGTCAGGACACATGCCCAGGTTGTGGGCCCGATCCCCAGTGGGGGGCATGCAGGAGGCGGCCAATTGATGTTCTCTCATCAATGTTTATATCTCTCTCTCTCCCTCTCCCTTCCTCTCTCTCTCAAAATAATAAAGAAAAAAATACGTTTTAGATATTGTTTTAAGTCAAAAACCTCTAATCTAGTCTTTTTTTTTCTTTTTGAGTGCTTTACTAAATTGTGTTTTTCTTATTATATGTCTTACACATATAGATGGGCAGAGAAATTAGATCGGCTAACTAGCACTGCAACAAAAGATCCAGAAGGATTTGTCGGGCACCCTGTAAATGCATTCAAGTTAATGAAACGTCTGAACACTGAGTGGAGTGAGTTGGAGAATCTAGTCCTTAAGGATATGTCAGATGGTAAGTCAGTTGGTAAGACTAATGAGCCCCAAAAGTAAGGCACTATTGTTACCACCTGTAGAAATGCCAAAAGTATCAATATATTCAGTTCTCAGAATATCAAGTGTTCAGGGTTGTAACTGAATTATTGCTGAGGTATGTTTGGTTTGATCAGAGTTAATTTATTCTAGATCCCAAATTTCTTGATTAAAAAAGGATGAATAAAAACTGGAAACAAAGAAATAAAAAATGAAATTTTATTGTTAAAAAAAAGTAATTTCTGCTATTGGTGACTAATACTACTGGCTTTTTGCTTTGAAATCTACAAATGTGAATTGATTATTTGGCATATAGCTTCATTTCTGAAGGTAGTCATTTTCATTTTAGTATTACCTTCAGACTAAAATTTATGGATATTGGCTTTGACTCTGTGTTAGAGCAATGTCTGTTCTTTTCCTCTGCATTAAATGGTCTTTAGTCTTTTAAAAATGTATTTTTAAAGTCAGCACATTATATTAATTGTATTGAAGGGTATGAATGATCCAGAATAAATCTTCAAAAATGTGCTTTATCATGAACTATATAGTTGCATCTAATTGAAGAACTCCAGTATTAATTGTGGTTTAGTAATTGTGTTTATTATTTTTAAAAATTGAGCTAAACTTTATTTTCTAATTAATTTTTAATGTCTTGGGAGTGGTACTATAAGAAAAAGTGTTAGCAGCTTTGTACATAGTATTTTGAAACTTAGGATTGTTTTACTTAATATAGATGATACATTTAAAAACTGAGGCTCCATATAGTAATAATAATGAATGTCTTTGTAGTTCAAACAATAAATTGTAGTTGCAATATTGAGGAGTTTAAGGAATATAATACCAGACACAAACAACTAAGTCTGAAGTTTAAGGAAGTAAAGGCATTATGCTTAGTACATGAGAGGCTCAAATGTCTGTTGAAGATTGCAGGTGGCCAAAAAAAATTTCTCTTTAAAAGAGGGGGAGCGTTTGAGCTAGCTGTGTAGATGAAATACTCCAAGAGTGCTTATAAATATTCATGAGCAGTGAACTAAACTATTTTTCATAGGGCAGGAAACCTTGAAAAGAAAAAATAAAGCAAGTACTATGAATACTTCTTTACCATGAGAGGAAACTCACTGACTATTTGCTTTTTGTTTTGTTTTGTTTTTGTTTTTATTAATTTATTTTTGTTACAGATGTTCCCCCTCCCCCATTGACTCCTTTCTCCCTATCCCCTCCCACCCTGTCCCCAGTTTTGTTGTCTATATCCATTGGTTATACATACATGCATATAAGTTCTGTGGTTTATCTCTCCCCTCCCCTTCTGAGGAATGTCTGTCTGTACCCTACTTCTCTGTCTCTGGGCCTATTTTGTTCATCAGTTTGTTTAGTTCATTATATTCCAGAAATAAGTGAGATCATGTAATATTTGTCTTTCTCTGCTTGGCTTATTTCACTTAGGATAATATTTTGCAGGTCCCTTCATGTTGTCTTCAAAGGATAAGAGATCTTTCTTTCTTACCGCTGCATAGTATTCCATTGTGTATGTGTACCACAGCTTTTTTATCTGCTTGTGTACTGATGGGCACTTGGGCTGTTTCCAGATCTTAGCTATTGTAAATAGTGCTGCTATGAACATGGGGGTACATGTATTCTTTCTGATTGTTGTTTCAGGCTCCTTAGGTATATTCCTAGAAGTGGGATCACTGGGTCAAATGGCAGTTCAATTTTTAATTTTCTGAGGTAACACCATAGTGTTTTCCATAGTGGCTGCACCAGTCTGCATTTCCACCAGCAGTGTACCAGTGTCCCCTTTTCTCCACACCCTCACCAGCACTTGTTGCTTGATGATTTGTTGATGGCGGCCATTCTGACAGGTGTGAAGTGATACCTCATTGTTGTTTTAATTTGCATCCCTCTGATGATTAGTGATGCTGCGCATTTCTTCATATGTCTCTTAGCTGTTTGTATGTCCTGTTTGGAGAGGTCTCTCTTTAGGTCCTCTGCCCTTTTTTAAATTGTGTTCTTTGTCTTCCTTTTGTTGAGTTGTGTGAGTACTCTGTATATTTTGGAAATTAACCCCTCATCTGATGTATCATTGGCTATTTGCTTTCTTATGTAACACCATGAGAACATTTTAAAAGTTGTGTATGTGTGTGTGTGTGTGTGTGTGTGTGTGTATACACACATACATACATATGTATACACATACATGTTTGTTTATTTTGGTTAATCTTCACCCAAGGATAGTTTTCCATTGATTTTTATTTTATTAATTTTTTATATTTTTTTCTGTATTGATTTTTAGAGAGAGAGGAAGGGAGAAGGAGAGATATAGAGACATTGATGAGAGAGAACATCTATTGGCCACCTCCTGCATGCCTCCCACTTGGAATTAGGTCCACGACCTGTGCCCTGACAAGAAATTGAACTGGCGACCTATTGGTGCATGGGTCAATGCTCAATCACTGAACCGCACCAACCAGGTTTTTCATTGATTTTTAGATAGAGTAGAAAGGAGGAAAGGAGAGTGAGAGAGGGAGGGAGGGAGGGAGAAAGAGAGAGAGAGAAAAACGTTGATGTGAGAGACACTTTGATTGATTGCCTCCGACATGACCTGACATTGGCCAAGGATTGAACCTGCAACCCAGGTGTGTGCACTTGACTGGGAATCGAACCTGCAACCTTTTGGTCCATGAGCTGTTGCTCCTACTGCTGAGCCAAACTGGCTAGGGCTTCATTTATTTATTTATTTAATCCTCACCCAAGGACATTTTCCCATATTTTGTTCAGAGAGAGTGGGAGGGAGAGAGAGAGAGAGAAACATCGACGTGAAAGGGACACATCGAGTGGTTGCCACCCACACGACCCAACCAGGGCCGGGGACAAACTGTAACCAAGATACTTGCCCTTAGCGGGAACTGAACCCGGGTCTCTCTAGACCGCAGGCCGACGCTCTAACCGCTGAAACAAACCGGTCAGGGCCATTTATTTATTTTAAAATTCTCAGATAATGATCTGTATGACCTGAACTCTTTTTTTGTTTGTTTGTTTTTAATCCTCATCCGAGGACATTTTTCTGTTTATCTTCAGATAGAGTGGGAAGGGGAGAGAGAGAGAGAGAGAGAGAGAAACATTGATGTGAAAGAGACACATTGACTGGCTGCCTCCCACATGACCCCGACCAGGGCCAGGGACAAACCGCAACCGAGGTATGTGCCCTTGACTGGAATTGAACTCGAGACTCATTAGTTCGCAGGCGGATGCTCTAACTGCTGAGTCACACCGGCCAGGGCTTTAACTGAGCTCTTTTATAATGTAAACCTTCAGACTGACATTTTAATTGTGGTAGTTATACATAATGTTATATATGTGGACATAGGCGTGTGTGTGTGTGTGTGTATATATATATATATATTTTTTAGAGAGAATTTAAGCAACTTTTTGGATTTTGCTTTGGGCTATAAAAAACTAGTCATCTGTAAAACTTGCTTGTAAAATTCCATGTGGCCCAGCCAGTGTGGTTCAGTGCTTGAGTTGACCCATACACCAAGAGGTCGCTGGTTCAATTCCCGGTCAGGGCGCATACCCAGGTTGTGGGCCTGATCCCCAGTAGGGGGCATGCAGGAGGTGGCCAGTCGATGTTCTCTCTCATCGATGTTTCTATCTCTTTCCCCATCCCTTCCTATCTTTCTAAAATCAATAAAGAAAAAAAATTCCATGTGGATCTTGTGACTGAGAGTTGGTTTAAAACTAAAAAAGATATGAACTTTAGCCTTCTTTCAACTAGTTGTTCATTTTTACATTTTTATTAACACAAGAATGTCTAGTCCTTTGCTGATCAAAATAGTTGATAAGTACATGAGGGGGAAGGAAAATTTCATACCAAACTCTTGTTGGCAAATGATGACATATTTTAAAAAATTTAAGACGCCTTTTGTTTTGTTGTTTTGGTTCCTTAAGAAGTATTTAGCATCCGTTCTCCTTAAGAGTTATATAGTTACCAGTAATTTGTTTGTTTGGTTTTTGATATATTTTATATACAGAATTTAAAAATTAATATTAAATACTATATTCAATCATTAAATAGATCTAAATATATTTTAATAAGCTAGCTTACTTGGTAGTCTTTAATATGTAATTAATAACTCTTATTCCCCTTAAAGAATTCTACCAAACTTTATGTGTTTATAGTTATATAATGTGTGGCACATGGAAGAAAAAAACAGAATTTAAGAGCATACATTTTACTTACCATCTGTTATCTGAAAGTTTAATTGGTTGCCAATGAATATCATTTTCAAATCCATAAATCTGTTCATTTTTCAAGTTTAGTGGAGGCTATGTTGTATAATTAAAAACTAAATTATGTTAGTTGATCATTATCTACGAATACACAGACATAATTTATGCAGTGACTTCGGGTTAAGCACCATTAGAAAGGGTTAGAGGTATGTCAAGTCTGATTCTGTGTATTTAATTTTTTCTTGTGCATGTGGAACATATTGCAGAAAATTATAATAAAATCAATTTTGAAAAATCTTTGTGAAGACTATATTGGAAATATGAAATCTCCGAGGTTCTAGAGTCTTTTTTTTCTCCCCCTCTTATTTCTAGGTTTTATCTCTAACCTAACCATTCAGAGACAGTATTTCCCTAACGATGAAGATCAGGTTGGGGCAGCCAAAGCTCTGTTGCGTCTCCAGGACACCTACAATTTGGATACAGATACCATCTCAAAGGGTAATCTTCCAGGTAAGAATTCTTCTAGTCTATAAAATACCTATCACCTGTCTTCTCTGTTGAATCCAGTAGTTAATGTAAAAAAGACTTTTGTATTTTAGGATTCTTTATTTATTTATTTAAAACATTTTTTTCCCTTTATTTATTTTTAGAGAGGAAGGGAGAGGGAGAGAGAGATAGAAACATAAGTGAGAGAGAACATCGATTGGCCACCTCCTGCATGCCCCCAATAGGGATTTGGCCCACAACGTGGGCATATGCCCTGACCAGGAATCGAACTGGCACCTCTTGGTGCATGGGTCGATGCTCAACCACTGAGCCACACCAGCCAGGCTGTATTTTAAGATTTTTTACTTCAGTTTGTTTCATAACTGGAGTTATGAACAAACAACCCTCCATTTCTCTAGGTCTTAATAGTTGTGGATAAGCTTCTAGTTTGTTACTTTGAAACTTATAATTATAGAGACTAAACTTAAGTAGGCAATTTTAGCATATAAATTGCCTACTTAATTATTTGGAGAAATTATTATTTCTCCAAATGTTTTTCTTTAGAACACCCAGTGTTTGTATGTAAAGTTATAAGGGAATTGATAATCAAAGTTTTCTGATAATTAAAATCCAAGTCCTTTTGGGTATGCACAGATTTTTAAAGTGTTCTGCAGTATGGAACATCTTGCTTGCTGGCCTGTTTTTTGGAAAACCCCTTTTTTTTAAAGTTACAGCTGACTATTTTGTGATAATTTCCTTTAAAAAGTTTTTTTTTTATCATACAGAAACATATAACAAAATTTACTGTCTTAACCAATTTTAAATGTGCAGTTTAATGGCATTAAGTACATTCACATGGTTGTACAACAATCATCATCATCCATCTCCATAGCTCTTTTGATCTTATAAAATAGAAACTCTGTACCTACTAAACAATAACTCTCATTTCTCCCTTTCCCCAGACCCTGGAAATCATCATTCTACTTTCTGTCTCTTTGATTTTGACTACTCTAAGTACCTCATAAGTGAAATTATACAGTATTTGTCTTTTTGTTACTGGCTTATTTCACTTAGCTTATATAATGTCCTCAAGGGTCATCCATATTATAGCATATGTCAGAATTTTCTTACTTTTTGAAGCTAAGTAATAATCTATTATTTGTGTATACTGCATTTTGCTTATTTATTCATCAGTGGACACTTGGGTTGCTTCCACATTTAGGCTATTGTGAATAATTCTGCTGTGAACATGAGTGTGCACATATCTCTTTATAAAACCCTGCCTTCCATTCTTTGAGTGTATACCCACAATTGGAATTGCTGGGTCATATGGTAATTCTAATTTTTTTTCTTCCTGATCCTCACTGGAGGATATCTCTTCATTTATCTTCAGGTAGAGTGGAAGGGAGGGAGAGAAGGAGAGAGAGAGAAACATCAATGTGAGAGGGACACATCTGCTGGTTACCTCCTGCATGAACCTGACCTGGGTGGTGGCAAACAGTAATCGAGGTATGTGCCTCTGGCCAGAATCGAAACCGTGACTCATTGGTCTGTGGGCCAACACTCCACTGCTGAGCCAAACCAGCCAGGGCTGGTAATTCTATTTTTAATTTTTTGAGGAACCACCATACTATTTTCCATAATAGATATACTACTGTACATTCCCACCAACAATGCACAATTTCTCAACATCCTTGCCAACCCTTGCTATTTTCTTTTTGGATAGTAACCATCCTAATAGATGTGACGGTGGTATCTTGTTATAGTTTTACATTTCTCTAATTATCAGTGATGTTGAATGTCTTTTCATGTGCTTAGCAGCCATTTGTATAGTTGCTTTGGAGATATGTATATTCAAATCATTAGTTCACTTTTTAATAGTATTTGTTTTTCTGTTGTTAAATTTTAGGAGTTCTCTACATATTCTGGATATTAATTCCTTAGGCGATATATGATTTAGAAATATTTCCTCCCATTCTGTGTGTTGCCTTTTTACCCTGTTGATATTGTTTTTTTTGATGTACAGATTATAAAATTTTCATTAGTCCAATTTGTTTATTTTTTCTTTTATTTCCTGTGCTTTTAGGATCATGTATAAGAAATCATTGTCCAATCCATTGTTGTGAAGCTTTATTTTTTGAAATCCTCACCCTAGGATATTTTTCCATTTATCTCCAGATAGAATGGGAGGGAGGGAGAGAGAGAGAAAGAAACATCAACGTGAGAGAGACACATCGATTGGTTGCCTCCTGCACGACCCCTACCAGGGCTGGGGACCAAATTACAGCCAAGGTACGTGCCCTTGACTGGAATAGAAACCTTGACTCTTTGGTCTGCAGGCTGATTCTCTAACCACTGGGCCAAACCGGCCAGGGCTGTTGTGAAGCTTTTGTCTTGTGTTTTCCAAGAGTTTTATTGTTTTAGGTCTTACATTTAGGTCCTTGATTAATTTTGAGTTAATTTTTGCATATGGTGTTATGTAAGGGTCCAACTTAATTTTTTTGCATGTATACATCCAGTTTTCCCAGCACTATTTGTTGAAAAGACTGTCCTTTCCCCATCAAATTGTCTTGACACCCTTTTCAAAAATCATTTGATCTACATATGAGGGTTTATTTCTGGGCTCTATTGATCTATATGTCTGTCTTTATGACAGTACTGTTCTGTATTTATGACTGTAGCTGTGTAGTAAGTTTTGAAATCAGGAAGTATGAACCCTTCAGTTTTGTTCTTTTTAAAGATTGTTTTGGCTATTTGGCATCCCTTGAGATTCCATATGAGTTTTAGGATGGGTTTTTTTCTATTTCTGTAAAAAATGTCATTGGGATTTTGATGCGGGTTGTATTGAATCTGTAGATTGCTTTAGGTGGTAATTTACATCTTAAAAATATAAACGTTCCAATCCATTTATGTCTTCTTTAATTTCAGCAATGTTTTAGTTTTCATTGTACAGTTCTTCATTTCTTTGGTTAATTCCTAAGTATTTTATTTTTAGAATTGTTTTAGTAATTATTTTTTAAGATTATACATTGATGTAAGAAATGCAACTGATTTTTGTGTATTGACTTTGTATCCTGCTACTATCACCAGTCATGTATGCGAGTTCCCATTTCTTCATATCCTTGCCTATCCTTGGTTTTGTCAGATTAAAACTGTAGCAGTTTAGATGTATGTGGGTGAGAGTTGGAGGGAAGGAGGGTTTTTAAAAATTGTACCCTCCCAAGAAAACCCAGAGAAAAGCAATTTCAGTGGACTTATATTGATGTCATGTAACTCCTTCATTTGTTTCATCTATGTCGTTTTCCTCTTTGGATGTATCTTTTGTAATGCTTTGTTAATATTTTAATGTAAAATCTTGTAAGTATATGCATTGGCATCAATGATATCTTTATAGTTCATATAGACTATTCCTTTAGTTTCATGTTGTTCCTAACCCTGATTTGTTGACTAGATCCATATCTTACAAAGGTATCATACTTTTCTTTTTTTTAGCTCTAATTTGGGTGGGTGGAGGGTATGGAAAATGTCTTACAGGAAAATTTTATTTACTTCAGGTGGGATTTGAATGTTCACACTCTGGGTCACTTGCATCACTCTCTGGGTGAACTGATACTGTTACTAGACCAAGGAGTAGATTCCCCACAAGTCTCTGGGGCTCACTCAGCTATGAGTGTGTCCTGCCACATATGCATGACACTAGCTTCCCAAATATATACATTTTAAACATGTTTCTCTCACACAAATCAAGTCTTTATCCACTAAGTATTCCTGTGAAGTATAAGAATTTTTATTTTATTTATTTATTTATTTATTTATTTAATTAATTTATTTATTTTTACCCCTCACCCGAGGATATTTTTCTGTTTATCTTCAGGTAGAGAGAGAGAGAAAGGGAGAGACAGAGAGAAACATCGACATGAGAGGGACACATCGACTGGTTGCCTCCCGCATGACCCCAGTCAGGGCCGGGGATGAACTGTAACCGAGGTACGTGCTCTTGGCTGGAACTGAACCCGGTACTCATTGGTCCATGGGTCGATGCTCTGCCACTGAGCCAAACTAGCCAGGGCAGTATAAGAATTTTTAAATTAAATGTCCTAGTTTATAGTTGAACAACAAAGTGTATTTCTTTCTTTTTCTTTATTGATTTTAGAGAGAGAAGGAGAGAGAGAGGTAGAAACATTGATGAGAGAGAACATCGATTGGCCACCTCCTGCATGACCCCCACTGGGGATCGGGGCCACAACCCAGGCATGTGCCCTGACTGGGAATCAAACTGGCAACCTCTTGGTGTACGGGTTGACCCTCAACCACTGAGCCACACTGCCTGGTCTCTATTTTTTATTTTTTTAAATCCTCACTTGAGGATATTTTTTCATTTATTTTCAGACAGAGGAGGGAGGGAGGGAGAGAGAGAGAAACATTGACGTAAGAAAGACACATCAATTGGTTGCCTCCTGCATGATACCGACCAGGGCTGGGGACTGAACCGCATCTGAGGTTGCCCTTGACCAGAACTGGACCCACAACTCTTTGGTTTGCAGGTCAAAGTTATTCTTTGTTCTCATCAAACTCTTATGTGCCCCGTATGAAAGTTTTTTATAGTCGTTTTCTGCCAACATCATTTTCCATATCTCATTTTCTTTATCTTCTTGTCCATTTGCTTTTCCTTCTCGTGTTCTCTATTTTGGAAATAGCCTTCCCTTTCAGATGCCGCATCACTTCTTTTTCATTTTCTTTTAAGAATCTGACTCCAGCCCAGCCCGTGTGGCTCAGTGGATTGAGCATTGTCCCATGGACTGAGAGGTCCTGGTTCAATTCCCGGTCAGGGCACTGCCTGGGCTGCGGGTTTGATCCCCAGTGGGGGACGTGCAGGAGGCAGCTGATCAATGTTTCTTTCTCACATCGATGTTTCTTTTTTTTTTTTTATCCTCACCCAAGGACTTTTTTTTTTTTTTTGATATTTTGTTCAGATAGAGTGGGAGGGGGAGAGAGAAAGAGAACATGAAAGGGACACATTGAGT